TTTTGAAGTCTGAAGTCAGTTGGATCTAAAGCATCTGACCTCAAGTCCTCGTTCTCCTCTTTGATAGTACTAAGCAAAATAGCCCTTAAAAACCATCTGAGATTCAGCCAGGGCATCTGCCAGCACCATAATAGCAGATTTGGAACAGCACTGAAGCCTGGGTGGTCAGGACCTGATTTTCTTTTATACTTAAAAGCCTAGCCAAAATCTCCCCATCGCAAGGTCTGTGGGGGAACTTGGTCCATGAGGCTTTGAACTGGTTCTGTTCATGTCTGTATGTTAGATAATGGTTCTGAAGCCATGGTCTCTGTGACCATTATAGACTAGAACCCAAAACAAAGCACTAAGCTTATTGCCAAGAGGCTCATTTCCAAGGGACCCACTGTAATTCTACATAACCATTATGCCCAGTGCGCCAGTTGTGAATGGCCTTGTTTATTTTTGGCATCCACCTGCCTGTCAGAACCACAGTAGATTGCTTTCTCCTTGAAGACAGAAGGCCCACCTGCAACGCAGTGGAGGTAGAGCTGATTAGTGTCAAGTTGTATCACTGAATGGTGTTGTACCAAGTCTCATATGAAATAGAGGAAGGCTTTCTTGGCAAGGAGGAAGGCAGGCTCCATGCTGATAGATCTTGGCAATAAAAATACTCTTTCATACATATATACCTTCCACATAGGTATGTATGTGCTGTTATAACAACCCTCCCAAATCATGGCCTCAGTCGATGCTTATAACCATCCAGAAGTGTAGGAGAGTTTGTTGTGGTTCCCATTTTCAAGTTCAGAGAGAAGTTAGAAGAATTAGGTGATTTGCCTAAGATCACTTAGACAATAAGAAGATCTAAGAACTATTCTCAGCTTTTACATTCTTCTGCTTCTGTTTGGTATAAAACCATCTGATATATGAAAATTGAGTGACTAGTGCCTTGGCTGTAGCACTTAAAACTTTTAATATGTTTTGACTTTATTTATTTTTTAAATTTTATTTATTATTTTTATGTGTATGCGTGTATCGCCTGCATGTAAGTGAGTGCACCTGTGTTGTGCAATGCCTGTGCAGGTCAGAAGAGGCTGTTGGATCCCCTGGGACTGGAGTTACAGTTTGTAAGCTGCCATGTGGGTGCTGGGATTTGAACCCAGGTCTTCTGCAAGAACAACCAGTGTTCTTAACTGCTGAGCCATTTCTCCAGCCTTATTTATTTATTTTTATTTTATGTGTATAAGTGTTATGCCTGCATGTGTTGTGCAGTGCCTATGGAGGACAGAAAAGTGTGTCGGGTCCCCTGGAACTGGAGTTATGAACGGTCGTTAGCTGCCATGTGGGTGCTGGGATTTCAACCCAGGTCTTCTGCAAGAAAAATCAGTGATCTTAACTGCTGAACTCTCTCTCCAGCTTCCGGCTTTTAATATATTTTGAACCACAATATTTGTCAGCCTCTTACTGAGCCTGCTGTTCCTACCATGCCACACATTTCACCTTATTGATGTTTTCCAGACAGCATTTCAATACAGCACACTTACAAATGAACTATAGAAACCTTGTGTGGTTTCAGTGTCTGTAGAGGTTGGTTTTCTTCCTGAAGGAGGGTACCGTGAGGAGGCATAGTTGCAGACAGCTTGGGGTAAGACCTTTAAAGCTTGGATAGCATGGTGTTTATAGCTGAACAGTGATGTGGTAGCAGCAACTTTCTTATTCAATTAATAAGAAAATATGTGCACTGTGTTCATGATGCTTAAAGAGCTGTGCTATGTTTCCAAGAACTATACAGTGCCTGCCTTCAGTAACCATACATTTCAACTGCAGAGACAATACATGTGCACATCAAAGTACCAGCAGCTTACAGCAGCTGAATAATGGCAAGAGTGGGGTATGGGTGATGAAGCCCAGGATTGATGGAGAGAGCATGCAAACTAGGGTGATTTGGAAGGACTTTTTAATTGAATTTTTTGTGTACTTTGTACAGAACAGCTCAAACAATCTTAATCATCTTTATACCCCCATCCCCACTGGCACCCTCCCATAGCCCCCCAACCCCCCACTGGAGCCCATATATTCTGTCATCCCTGTTACTGCCCACTGTGTTGTCAGTGCCCCCAGACGTTCCCAAGTGCAAGTCCATCCACTAAGTCTGGTCAGCCTATCTAGAGTCCCTTGTTTTAGGAAGATCAGCTATTCTTCATCTAGCAGCAAGTAGTTGCCAACATTCCTTAGATAAGATTGGGGTCTGCAGTTCATTTTCTCAGTCCTATGCTTGGTTATTATATGTCTAAGTTTGCATGGGACTTGTACATGCTGACACCATTGCCATAGAATCATATGAGTAGGTTCCCAGGAGCTTGTAGGACTCTGTTTCCATATGGTCATGCACCTCCTCCCTGACTCTTACAATCTTTCCACCCCCTCTTCCAAGATGGTCCCTGAGCCTTGAGTGAAGTTTAATAAATGGATCCTGTCCAAGGACCAGAATTCAGCAGACTCTTGATCTCTACACTTTAAGCTATTTGTGACCTTTTGTGTTCCTGGCCCTCCACTGCCAAGTACCACAATTGGTCACACATGGACATTGTCTGTGAATTGCCCAGGCCTAAGTGACACATCTCCAATGCAACCTCTACACCTAAGGCTCAGGGAGGATGCTTTTAGATTTTGTAATGGATTTAAAATTTAGATACTGTTTGTGCAAGTCCTTCATTTCCTTTGTTACATTCCAAGATGTTTTATGGATCTTGAGGCTGTCGTGAATAGGATTGTTTCCTGGGTTTCTTTGTCAGTGGTGTTTGTTGGTGTGTATGAAGGCTGCTGATTTGAGGGTGTTTATCCTATATCCTGCTGTTTTGTGGGATGTATTTGTCAGCTCTAGGAGTTTTCTGGTGGAATCTTTTATGTTTATAATTATTTCCTCTACAAATTAAGAAACGTTGACCTTTTCCTTTCCAATTTGTGTCCTCTTTATCTCCTTCGTTTGTCTTATTGCTCTAGCTAAGATTTTAAGTACTATATTAAACTGGAATGGAGAGATTGAACATTCTTGTCCTGCTTCTGATTTTTTTTTTGTCTTTTTGAGACAGGGTGTCCCTGTAGCCCCAGCTGTCCTGGAACTCGCTATGTAGACCAGGCTGGCCTTGAACTCACAGAGCTCCTCCTGCCTCTGCCTCCCAAGTGCTGGGATTAAAGGTGTGCGCCACCACACCCAGCTTTAATTTATCTTCCATTTTCTTTTTTAAAACATTTTTTGCTGAGCTTTTGCACATTTCATTCAACAATAATTAATCAATTTTAGAGCTCCTTCTTCATCCATGCCCCCCAGAACCCCCACCAAACCTCATGTATTCTGCCATACATGTTAAGTCCTATCCAGTCAAGCATTTGTACCCGCATGTCCTTTGGTGCAAATTCATCCCCTGGAGTCTAGTCAGCCTATCTAGAGATTGTAAATAAGGCATACTCTCCCTCACCCAGAAGTAAATATTCTCCAATATTTCCTATCTAGGGCCAGCCTGCCACCCATTTTCAAGCTCCACTCTGGGCCCTTGTCTGATTGAGTTGGCATGGGTCCTGTGCTCATTACCACCACTGCAAGTTCACATGTGCAAGTTTCCAGTGCACTGAAAGCCTCTGCTTCCCTGTGTTTATGAACCAATCCTGACTCTTACAATCTTTCCACCCCCTTTTCCTCAGTGGTCCCTGAGGAGGGTGAGGTTAAATATAGGAGTCCTATCTAGGGAAAAAACTTCTCAGTCTCTTAGTCTTTAAAACTTGGCCAGTTGTGGCCTTCTTGTGCATCACACTGTTGTATAAGGAAGCTTCACTCGTAAGAGTTGAAGGATACATTAGTTTTTTCCTCTGCCCCTTGTTCTGCTATGTTCTATGAGCCTCGGGTGTAGAAATTCCACTGTAGATGTGTCACTTAGCACTGAGCATCTCTCAGATGTATATTCTCTGTGTCTGACCAGTTGTGGGATTCTGCAGTAGCCTCCATCTGTTGCAAAAAAGAAGCTTCTTTGATGAGTTGTGTATGGTATGCTTGTCTGTCAATATAAGGATCCATATTTAGTTTATGGTAAGACATTTCTTTTGTCTAGCGATACGACAGAGATAGGGTTTTCTCTAGGATCTAGACAGAAGAGGGGACAAAAAGATTTTAAGAGCCAGAGGTAGTGGATGACCACAAAGAAATAGAGTTTTCTAGATAACTGGTGAGTTACTCACATGAACTCACAGCAATGGTGACAGCATGCACAAGTCCCATGCAAGCTCAAACCAGATAAAAACCCAGCACAGACATGGGGAAGTGAGTAAGATATTCCAACCCAATATAAGGATATTTAGTCAACCAGTGACCACTGGGAGGGGGAGAAACAGTCTCTTTCAAGGATGGGACTCTTGGTAGGTTAACCAGGCTCCGGTGGATGGACCCACACTGAAGGATACTTGGGGACACAAAATAGACTCTGTGAACCTTATTACTGATTTGGCCACTGGTTAAGAATAAAAGTAAAAAGCTGCTTGTTTTGAGAATCGACATCCCAAGAGGATAAGAAAATGAATTTATTACTTATAAGCTTGGACTTCTCTCAGATTTTGACTTCTGGGTAGTGCCTCTGGTATTTGATTTCTGTCTTTCTGAGTTCTCAGATACTAAAGTTGAATAGAACTTCTGAAGTATGTGACCAGGTGAACCAATGAGTTTCTTTTGATTATAATATATATTGCTTATAATATATGTGTATTTGGTTGTAACATATATGTGATGAGAGAGAGTGAGAGAGAGAGAAATTTGTTTTCTAAGGAAAAGCACACACAGCCTCCTCTCTCACACACACCCTTGGATGGTTTAGAAGGTAGAAAGGGCGATATTGACAGCTGCACTTGCTGTACTGGTGACTATAACAATGGGTGTCAATCCTGGCCTTCTTCGCTTCCCTGGACTTCATGCGGGCAAATGTGGGCTGTCACTGAGGTGGTTATAAACTGTATCTCTTGTCCTACTGTCTCAGGGATTCCAGCAAAAGTTCTCCTTCCACAGTAAAGAGATCGTGGCCATCAGCTGTTCTTGGTGCAAGCAGGCGGTAAGTTTGGGACAAAATACGCAGTGTGGGCTCCCATGTGATCATAAGAAGCTGTGTCATTGCTTGAGTTCCAGCCTATGGGTAGAAGGTTACCTAAATGAGCATACTACTTTTTCTCATACGACCCTCTTAGAGGACAAACAGAACATAATGACAGGACAAAAGCAAATACAAACTGAGAGACTCTACAAAGAGAAATTTACTTCTTTTGCAGGATGAAAGACTGGGAAATTCTTCCCCAGTTCTCACCCTGGGACTGGAATACAGGGTTTCTCACACTCAGACCACCACCCACATTCTTCCCTGTCTGGTATTGTGCTAAATACTCCCCAGTATAGGAGAAAGCACAACACGAGGAACCATGAGTCCAGCCCAGGTGTCCAAGCATCTTGGTTCTGGTCCTGATGTGTGTGACGTCTCCATGGGGCTGTGAAGAATGAGTGCTTTTGTGCTGCTTTTAGGTCCAAGTGATTTCCTAGTTATTCATGTGTTCATTGATATGCAGCCCTTTCTTGTATTTAAACATGTGTCATTCTCAAGATCCCATGCTTATTTATTAATTACTTTTCCTCTTTTTTCTTTTTCTTTCACTTTTAAGAGCACCTGACCCCTCTGTCCAAGGCAGATGCTACATTTCCTTACTTGTTTGCCTTTGTCCTGGTTCATTCTTTCACTCTAACACAATTGGCAAGCTACAGCACCCAGGGCCAAATATGGCTGCCACCTATTTTTATAAATTAAATTTAATTGGAACATAATCATGCCCAGCTATCTGTGGCTCTGTTCATACCTCAATGGATGAGTTGAGTCATGGCAATATAGGTGAATGGACTCCCAAACCTAAAATATTTGCTACCCAGGCCTTTATAGAAAAGTTTGTTATCTCCTGCTCTGATCTCTCAGTCTGTCTACTCATTTGTTTCATTTTGTTTTTCAAGACAGCCTTGCTGTATAAGCATTTCCTATCCTTATGTTTGTGATTCACCTGCCTCAGCCACCAGATACTGGGATTATAGGCCCGGGATTTTTGCTTACTCTTTTGAGTGACTGTTTATATTGGGACATATCACCTCTTCGTTGCATAGGAGATCTGAAAAGAATGTCTGTGGTGTGTTCTGTTAGCTAGATTAAAGGTTTGCAGGTCTGCACATATCAGGATCAGTTAACCACACAAACAACAGGACTGAAACAGATGTATTTAGTTTGAAACAACTGCAGTTGACATTTTTGTGGGTCAAAACCATTTGCATTATAGCAATTCTAATAGTCTCTCTAGCATAATTTCCCTAGGCCTTTGCATGTCAGTAAAGCCTCCTGTTCTTGGGTGAGGACTCAGTGGTCTGGCAGATTTAGTGCTTGCTGTGCCAATATACTGCCATATTTGTATTCTTGGCATATATATAACCCTTGTGCATCTGTTCAAGAGCATATTCACAAGTACAAGACCATCCTAGTTCTAGCGAAGCTCTGACTCTGTCAAGGCAGTGTCTCCCTTTGAGATTGGGTGTCAACTGGTCCCTAATACTGTCTATGCTGCTAGCTTCCCTGAACTGGGAAGAGCCCACTGCTGGGACAGAATCATGCCAAGTTTGTCTTGATAGACTGCATCTTCTCCTGTGACCCTGGAGTGATGTGATGTGCCCAAGGTCAGTTAATTTGGAAACTAGATCTTACTTTATAATGAACATATGTGTTCTTTTAATTGATCTGTCATCCAACAGAGTCACTACAGAGACTGACTTTTTGTGGCTGAGCCTTGGTCATTTCCATACTTTGTGTAAAAATGTTCCCAGTTTCCCACATTGCAGGAGGTGATTTTGCAAGAACTGTGCATGCAAAATATATTCACACAAATTACAGTGCTGATTTACTTTAGTAACATTAGTAATCCCTTCCAGGATATTTGATGTCAAATAAACAAATAACTGGCCCTCTATGATGCAGGAGAAAAACCTTGGTTTGGGGAGCTGAAGTTCCTGTAGATATGTCTTGGCTCCAACATTTAAAAGTCGTGCAATCCTGAGTGTGCCTCTTAGTCTCTAGGTTGGAGATCACACCAGTATAAACTGAGAGAGTCGCATAGGCAGCCTCCAGGACTCTTAGCATTATAGAAATTCAGTGGGTGTGCATTGAGACTAAATTTGATTGCTAGAAGAAAATCAATTATGAAAGGAACCGTTGAAATAGCATTTCTGTGTGGTGCGGCATTTCTCTGCTTTAACTGTGGATTCCAAATAACTGGTGGCATGAGGAATTATTAATTATTTTATCAGTATTTTATCCTTAATTGACTGATATTAATTAGCCACTGAATTACAGCAGATATTGAAGATACGCAGAAATAAAAACAAACTCTTTGATATCAGAATACAATCAGGGTGGTTACAGATGCCAGCTTTTTGCATACAGTCCTAACTGATGTCAGTTCTTCCAACATAGTTATTATCAATGATCCAATTCACACTTAAATTGATCCAATAAAATGGTGATTTATGTGGTGGTTACGATAAGTATAATTCAAGTTCAAGCAGATGTTAAATACAAGAAAATCACTATGATTCACACTTAAGTCCCTTGATTATTACATAATGTTGGTTTTATGTTTATTAGGAATGATATAAGTCATGACTATCACTTTATTGTCAAAAGATGATTGAACATGTGATTAGACTCAGGTCACAGTTCCAGCCTCACAGCCAAGGTATTGAGTTAAGCCCCTTACACTGGAGTATTGTGGTCGTCATTATTACTTTATATTCCCTTCCTTCCTTTCTTAGACAAAAAAACACTTTAGACTTGCCAAGTGTGATAGGGTCACTGTATTTTTTAAGGGCTCTAGGCAAACTCAGTAGAAGTAACCTCTTTGTGTTTTGTTACTGCTGCAATGAACAGCTCTCTGGAGGAAACATCCTGCCTCCTTCCTGGCTCCCTCAACTGAATGAATAAGGGAGGGATTTACAACTATGGTAGAAAAAAATGGCAGGGGTTGGGCATTGCCTTCCTCCAGGTCTTCATCCTGTCCACATTATCTGCTGGAAACGGTTGTGAGCATTTAGGATTAGACGCTCGCATCTGTATGCAAACATTTGATTAAACAGACTGTCTTCGCAGGCCTCATCCTGCCAGGTTTTTGTTAATAAGTGTGTGCGTACTGGAATGGATTAGAAATCCTGGGATGGTTGAATGCTAATGAGATGCATGTGTTCTTAATGTGTGCATGCACATGTGTGTATATGCACATGTGCACTTATCCCTTCTTGCTGCAAATGATCTCTTGTTCAGAATTGCTTATTAGCCTGTTTTTCTCCTCAGTTTCACAATAAAGTGACCTGCTTCATGCTGCATCACATTGAGGAACCCTGCTCCTTGGGGGCACATGCTGCTGTTATTGTCCCACCCACCTGGATCATTAAGGTGAAGAAACCTCAGGTAACTGCAGGATTCTGGCGTTGCTGAGATAATGCAGAGAAAAGTAACTGCTGTGATGTGCTTTTCTACTTCCACTAGTCTTTGGGTTCCTTTGACCTCTGTACATTCAATCTCATGGTTTAGTGCTTAGTTACCAAGTTTACCCTACTTGCCCACCTCTTGATTGTGTTGGGCTTTTCTATGGGACCAGACTTCCTGTCCTCATAAACCACTATTCCAGAGCAAGGTTGTTTCCTCCTCATCCACCTACTAATGATATGCTTTTTGATGACAGTTCTTCTGAGTTTCACTGCGTACCAAAGAGGGCATCGTGGAGTTTTACATGGCTCTCTCTCTTTCTAACCTGAGCCAACTGAGAGCAGTCTGTGTAGGGATCATGGTTTGCTTGACTTCCTGCCACCTCCAATCCAAAGGCAGACCACGAGTCCTGAACTTCGTATGTACACTGCCTGCTTGAAGAGCCACATTCTTTTCTTCAGGCAAACCAGAATCTGTCCCCTTAGTACTTAAACTCATTCTATATTCTCAGCATTCTCTCTGTCCCAGCCAATCATTGCTTCATTAGTCTGAGAACCATGGTGGTTTCTCAATAAGGACATAATCCTTGTTGAATGTGTATCTTCCTTTGAACTACACATCTTAGACACTTGAATTTATATTTGTAAGTGATACAAGGTGGTGAACTTTTAGAGCTACAGGGAGAGAGATGGTAATTCCTTATGCAGGTGCTTCAGAAAGTCTTACTGAATGTAGTATCTTTAAAAAATGCCATGACCTTCAAAGCCATCCTGTGATTTATTCCGACTGGCTCTGTTTTATTGGAAAATGAATGGGGCATTGCTTTGTTTTGTGTAGTTTATGTAAAGTTTGGTTTCTGTCAATGATAGCTCGAAACTCTTGGGAGGTTTCTCAAGAAGCAAGTATGGAATCTACATGTTAAAAAATGGAGAGTCTGTACATTTTAGAATCAAATGCAAGATAAGACAAGGGGACAAGGCAGTCCTTGTACTATTGCCTGATCCACGATGCTCAGTTTTTATTTTTAAATTCATTTAATATTTCTACTTCTTTGATTTATTTCTTTCCTCCATTTTAGTTATTTTTACAGGACTTTGTATTATATTTTCATGCAGTTTAATCACCTTTTAATGGAAAAGCCAGATTATAACAGTGGGACTCTAAATACTGTGATATAACACACACCCCTTGCCCTGAAGCCTTTTGAAATATCTACTGGAAGGGTTGGGGTGCTTCCTGAGGATGTGGGGTTTCTTCTTCTGTTTAAAAGGTGGGTGGGATTTAGACCAGAAAGGGAAAGAACAGCGGGTGGACGATAGCAGAAGCAAGCTCACTATATATAGAAGAATTACATTCCCAAGCCTTTGAGCTGAGTTGGGCCAGTCAGGATTTCTGCTAAGTCCTGCCGGAGATGAGTTGGAGGTTCCACAAGCCTCATGGTGGAGGGATTTTTGATACATGGACTTTATCCTAAAGTAGTGGGCTTCTTTATCAAAAAGAAACAATAGAGAAAAAATAGTGTTTTGGAAGGAAAACAGCAAAAGGGTGTAGGTTGACAATGAAAGATAATCCTGTGAAATACAGGGAACACTATATTAGTGTCATTCCGTTATTAAAAATGGGAAGAAAAATAGGGTGGCCATCAATGTTGGACTCCACAGACTTATGAAAAGCAGGGACTGAGAACAGTATTTGAGTTTGTGATCAGAGTATGACTGGCAGCCAACCCTCTAGTTTGTAGTGTGTAGAACATAGGAGACAGGTTGTTTAACAGCACAGAGACACTAATATCAGAAAATTCCTTAGCAACATTGGAGCGAGACGTAAAAGAAGGTACATGGGTATAACAGAGTAGGATGGTTTCTAACTTTGAGGATTATTTATCTGTCATCTTTCAGTCTATCATCTATCTCCATCCATCTCTATATATTTCTACACATACTTTTTTATGTTCTTCTATCACACCATTTCAAAGTATAAATGGTAAAGAAGGTATTCTTAATTAAGTAAACATTTAATTAGCCATATTCTAGGATGCTGTTATGTGTGGAATGATGTCTAAAGATAAATGAAGTGTAATCTATCTTCACAAAGATTATACTTCCTAGGGGAAACATAAATACCATCATCTAAGTCATTATTTGTGGACTCTGGAATCGGAGTCAAGGCATCTGTGCATCTTTAATAAAAGAGTGGCCTCCTGCTCTCTTGGAAGTGTTAGCTCTTTATCAGCATGCGTTCCCGGGAACGCATACATAGACTGGGGAGAGCAAGTGGCCACACAAATTGGTTCATCCATAGTAAGGAGTGATGAGTCCAAGCTGAACAGTGTTAATGCTGTTTGAGATGTAGAAGCCCAGTGGAGCTATGACACATGAGTCAGCAATTTCAGTCATGGGGATCAAGCTAGACTGCATAGAAAATATACTATTCAAGCTCGGCCTTGAAGAACATGGGGAGTCTCCTCAGGTGGAGGGAGGATGTAGGCCAATGCAAGTTGACAGAACGTATTGAAAGCAGGTCAGCTTTATTTGGATGCTTGTGTTCTAAATGAATGACTCCATACAGGAGTAAATAGATGCCATCTGATGGTCCATTTGTTGCTCTGAGGATGAGTTCTACAGAGAATCTATTCCAAAATGCTCCACAGAATGATTACAAGCATAGACAGTACTGAACTCTACATGTACTGTGTTTTCTCTTCTATATACATGCTTAGGATAAAGGTTAGCATGTAACCTTTCTAACATTCTAAGAGATTAACAAAAATAATAAAATAGAGCAACTGCAATAATATACTTTAATAAGGATCATGTAAAATGAAGAATTATTATTCATGGAATTTATCATTTAATATTAATTTTAAACCACAGTTGACCACGGGCAAGTGAAACCACAAAAATGAAATCATGAGTAGGGAGGCTATCGTAATATTTCAGGAAAAGTGACTTATAGAGAGATATAGTAAGACATATGCTTTGCGTCCTTGTTAAAACGATGGCAGTCTCTTGAATGGATACTAACTCCTCCAGCAACTGTAGAATGGACGTAGGTAGAACATTGGTGGTAGGGCATGAGGACTCCCTGGTATCATTTTCAAATTGCTTAGAGAGAGAGGGGAAGAAGTTATTTACTACAAATTAAAAAAGGATGGATGACAGGTGATTTTAAGGAATTCAAACGAGAAGAAAACCAAAGCTTAAGAACCAAGGTTGAATCTATTGATGTACTTGAATTCCAAATTACATTTGAAGCTGCAGGTGTCAGTGCTTTCCCTGTAGACTGAAAACATCAGAAGGTAATAGTTTGATTGGCTAAACAGGGTCAAAGATTTTCAAACACCAGCACATAATCTTGGAGTTGTGGGAGCAAGACTTGTGGATTGTGGATTGTTATAAGCAGGTCACGTTACAGAAGATGAGGGTGAGGAAGCATACTCAGAGTTTCACGTCATGAAACAAGATGCCTTTCTTTTCTTTAATAAATTTGTTCTTTGACAATTCTACACACGTATAGAATGCTTTCTGATTATGATCCTGTTTCTGTCCTCTCTTACCTGTCTCTCACCTGTGTTAACATAGTCCCTTTCTCACGTTCATGACTTTTTGTTTTGTTTTGTGACCAATTGAGTTTAACCAGAGCTTTCTGTGTGACCATGGGTGTGGTGTGGAGCAACTGTCCACTGGAGCCTGGCAGACTCGCCAGTGGGCACACAGCTAAAAATAATGATTCCCCCTCCTCTCGAATTCATCAGTACCCAGTAGTTTCCCAGGGAGGCTTTAGTTCCCCACCCATGACTGACTGATGACAGGCCCTGCCTAGTGCAGCTTCAGTACAGGGAACTGTGGTTTTTGGGAGTCCATGAAGGCAGTGGCTGTGTCCTGCCCAGAAGACAGCACCTCACACCCCCACTCCCTGTCATCCAGTCCTTAAAATCGTCCCACTCCCCTCAAAAAACATTTTGTAACCCAGCCACTGACTTTTCCAAACTGTCATTGTTTTATAACTTTACCACTTCTCCCAAAGGGTTTCCATCTTCTTCTGGAAAGAATATAAAAGTAATCTTTCCTAAATAGTGTCCAGTGGGCCTTCACAGGATTGTGTTGTGACACTATGGTCTCTTTGAAAGGAGGATTATACATAGTCTTTTAGTTTCATGTTTAGTTTGCAATGAGTAATTCACACATTTTATTGCTGTACAAAAGGAACTTTTCAGATGAAACGTCCCCTTTTACCAACATTTAAAATTCAAACACCTCTTTTGTCTTCGCCATCACATATCCATGTGGAGATTTTACTCAGAATTTACAAGAATAGAAATGTACGTTTAGAATAGACACAGACCAGAGTGTGTGCAGGTTGAGTACTGTTAAATCACACGGTTCTTCAGAATAGACACAGAATCACAGTGTGTGCAGAGTTGAGTGTTGTTAAGTCACACAATTCTGCAGATATTTCTCCAGAGCTTACTTTAAAAAAATGAATCTTATGGGGCTGGAGAAATGGCTCAGCAGTTAAGAGCACTGACTGCCCTTGCAGAGGACCCGAGTTCGACTCCCAGAACCCACAAGGTGACTGACAACCATCTGTAACTTCAGTTTCAGGGGAATCTGATACCCTCTTCTGACCTCCATGGGCATTGCACAACATGGATGCACTTGCATACATGCAGGCAATACACTCACACACAAAACTAAAAATTAAAAAACAAACAACAAAAAAATGAACCTTGAGGAAAACTCTATAGTAGGACTTGTGGGCTTTAGTCATCTTAAACTATTATACCCATCCCATGCTGTAGATATATCAGCTTATCCATATCCCTATTGATAGATTTTTACGTCGTTTCTAATGTTCAACTTATAAAATATGTATTCATTCCTTCCTACCCCTTGTAGACCTTTTTTCACTAGTTTTATTTTTCTAAATGCCTTGTGACTGACTGATCTTTAATTGCTGGAGACCTATGAAACAAAATAACAATTTTTATTCCATAACTAACAACAAAATTGCTCAGACTTACTTAAACCATTTCCTTTGGTGAACCCTAAAGATCAGATAGTACTTGTGATGTGCTGTTGCTTGGAGCTCTTGAGACCTGCTCCTTAACCCCAAAGTGGTGAATTTTCTTTTCTTTTGCTTGTCCATCTTCAGAACCACCTTTATTCCTGTAGGACGACTAGAGCAGGAAGTGAGCTTGCCGTTTAAGACGCAACTCCCTGGCTCAGAACCCGTAGTCCAGTGTGTGGGAGAGACTTCCTTTGTTATAATGAAGTGATATATCATCTTTTAGATCTATTAGTATAGCCAGTTGTTTAAAATCCCATAACTGGGAAAAAAAATCCCTTAAGAGTAATAAGACCTAAAGTTTCATTCACAGTTGAGTGATTCGCCTATAAAGTACTTCCTAACAACACAGGAAGGAATCATAACTCCAATAAGGATTTGGTTGATAGGATTACGTCTGTGGCAAGGTAAGATTGCCCTGATACTTGGTCCAAGAAAACAAAAGGTCTTTTCTTAGGTTTTACACTAAAGGGTAGGCATGAGATGCCTAGAGGATGGCTGCTGTTGAGATTAGAAGACTGCAAATCCAGTCTGAGCAGTGTTGATCTTGTAAGGCAGTCATTGAGCCAGCTGCCCTGATGGAACAGGCAGGCTTTGTTTTCAAACATCTAATAGATAAGTTTCAAAGGTCTCTTGACTCTCTCACCAGGAAGTTTTAACAATAACTTCTTAACATAGCTTCTCTGTTCTTCAAAAGTGGCTACTTTGTCGATTTCTCTAGTACCAAGTCAGACAGGACAAGCTCTGCTGAAGATTAGTTAGGATAGATGTCTTATATTTTCAGTACTAAAACACATCACAAATCTGCCTTCCTGTCCATCTGTTCCTCACAAGATGCAGCTGCCTTCTAAATGAAGTAACACATGTGGACTGAGGTATATGTTTGTACACAAAAAAAGAAGGGGACCTTTGGGAATAGTGAGGTGTGTAAATTCTAGAATACTTGCTATTTCTCTTTGATTATTCTTAGGACTGTAAACATCCTCTGAGCTCACATGCAAGTCAGTCACTACTTTTTCTGTTGTGTAAAGGAAGCCTCAGATGCATGAGTCTCAGTGAGGTTCAGAAGAACTTGGCCTACTACAAAAATAAAAAATTAAAAAAAAAACCTGTTTTGTGTGTCTGTTCCCAACTAAGATTGAGTTCCTTGCCTGTTGTTTTTAGATTTCAACTATTATTTCTAATTCCATATTCCCCAAACACTTGATCACCAAAATCACCTGAAATTCTTTGAATTCCATGATAGATAACTTTAAGAAAGTTGTATAAGGGCTTAACTTGATCCACTAGAACTATCTCTTAGAATTTAGGTGTTGAGTTCCCATCAAGAACCAAGGCCTCCAGTATGTTCTTGCAAGCAATTGCTATGTACATTTGGTCTAGGCAGGAAACGTATTAAAACATCAAAGTAAGTCATCACCTTCTGAGCATCCCTTCCCAAACCAGTAAGTGCTATTATTTGTAATAATATTTATTCATTGCTTCAGTGATAATTTGAATGCAGTTGTGTTCTAAGCATTTGCGCTATGTATTGAGACTAACAGGTGTGAATGGGTGCGTATTATGGAATGGATACCAAACTGACTGCCACACATGCCTTTTCTTGTCTAAACTTCATTAACTGTCTTATGAACTAGGTATTGTCACTTCATTTTAAAATTAAGAGACGGTTATTTCAAACATTTGGCTGACTTAAGCAAGAGCACAGATCTTACCACAGGGAGCTGCAGGGGGAAGATGAGTGGCAAGTCTGCCAGCTCACGTTCCTGCTGTTGATCTGCTTTACCACAGTGGTCTCTTATTTCCTCACCTGTCTCTTTACGGTTCCAAACCCATATTCTCAGCCCTTGATGAGCAGTTAACCACCCAGAGAGCTTTTTGAAAGAACCCTGATTTGGGCTCTAGTTGAAACAGATCAACAGTGTGTTGTTGGAGTCTAGGTTCCAGCGTTTTCTAAAAGCTCTGCATAAGGCTGGAGTGTGTTACTGGTTGGGAAGCACTGGGAACATCATCATTCACTGGCATCAATTAGAAGCTTCTTCCACAGCCTAAGCATTTCCAGACTCCAGACCATTTTTCTTTCCTGTTATACAAACTGAAATTCATCAAAATATTGCACATACTTTCATAATCGTAAAGGAGACAAGAACGTGATAAAAGATCCTTTAACCTAGGAATGCAGAAGCCCTGAAAATCTGTTCTCAGGACAAGCGTAGTCAATAATGTATGACAGACAGGGGTTTTCTGGAGTGAGGCCGACTCATGGTTTCCTGAATCTCTTTCCGGAGAGTCTCTGAGATCCTGAAGACATTTTCTTTTGATGGAAGAAGAAAACCTGGGGACATACGGTGGTTCTTGAAAAATTCCCTCAGCCTTGGTGAACAAAGGCCATAAATCGGTTTTCTTTCCTTTTTCTTTTTCTTAATCTAAGTAAAAATAAAACTAGTTTGGATCTTGTTAATTTTGATGTATAAATGTGTATAATATAGACCAATGTTTAGTTTTGAATGCTCTAAAAATATATTACTTGAAGATTAGATATCTAAATTTCTTCAAGCTATTTTGAAAACTGTTAACTGCTCAAATAATGTAAGTGTGTATTATATCAATTTCTAAGTTAAGAATTCTGCATTTCAGGCTCTCAACACTTGGTCAAACATCTATTATATGGTCAGTACTATCTTGCCTTTGTGAAGATGCAGTCTAATTAATTATTGAGTCCACTAGTTAAGTCTGATTTTTGCTTGGTCTTCAACCAGTAAGTTGTGACTGTTTTCTAAGAGCTCCTTCCCTAAGTATTTGTAGTAGATACTCAGAAGTTGAAGATAGTTGAAGTAATCACAAATTGTGGTCCATAAACTTAATAGAAAGAGAAAATAAATTTAAGGATCGCTGTCAACAACTTTGAGTTACTTCCATGAGAAGACAAAAGTTCAGGGCAACTTAGTAGAGGGAAGACTTTTTAACTCGATAAGTCTTTAGACAGAGAAAGATAGAATAATGCCCATCATTGGACTATTTTAAGTAACTTAAGGTGAATCTTCCCTCAGCATTTAAAATAATAGACATTAGTGCTGATAAGAGAGTTGGATTATAAAGTTATACTGGAGTCAAGAGTTATTTTATGACTGTTATTAATACAGACCATAAAAAGTAAAGAAAGGAAAATGAATCAAGAAAAAGAAAAACATAAAAAAATGGCCTCCTTTTTTACATTTCCACATAGGTGATCTCCATACCAGGAGATGAACTTGAACTTGGTTGGGCGGGACACGGACCTGGTTGGGCGGGAGACTGGAGCCCCTCAGAGAATTTGGGATTCTTCCATTTTTACTGGGAGGGTTGGCAGGTATACCATGTGTTGTTATGTGAGTCCATGAGAGCCTTTGGGGCTCGAACTCCCTGCCTCCGTGTGGAGGGGAGTCAGTCGCTCACTCTGGAGCACTCGACTGGTTTCTGTCTGTGGCTTACCCATGAGCAGTGGCTTGGAAGTGTCAAAGCATGAGAAGCATGCAGTCAACAGCATGCGCTGCTGTCCTCTTCTACATGGTTCTGCATGGAAACTCTGGGGCTGCCTACCTCTTGCATTCAGCTGCTCCCTTCTTTCCCCACAGAACTCCTTGAAGGCTTCCAATCGGAAGAAAAAAAGAACAAGCTTTAAAAGAAAAGCCAGTAAAAGAGGACCCGAAGTAAGTGTTGCAGAGTGACGGTGGGAAATACAGCTTCCTTCGCGGAGGCTACTTGGGTCAAAGGGTCTAGCCCAAGCTTATTTTCCTGATATGCCTTCTACCCTCTTTTTGCCCCTCAGTGCGTTCTACCCACACTGGAATTCTTGTTCCAAGTCCATCCATCTGTCAATCAGTTGGTCAGTCTAACGTGCCACATTTGCCCTAGCCTGGAAGTGTCATCCCAGTGATGCTGGTGATGATGAAGATGAAGATGAGAACTTACATTTCCAGAGTAAAATCCAAAGCATAGCTCGAGCTTCTGGAGCACAGTATAGCTTGAGAGGCTTTGTTTGTACATACTCCTATGAAGAGTTGGCTTCGTGGAGTGGGACATGGGTTTGAGCAGTCTGCAGGTTCTCTCCCGTTGCTCTGTGATTGCTTCCAAGCCACAGGCATATATCCTAACAGCCCTGTTTGCTTCTTTCAGCAGGAAAACAAAGGTCGCCCTTTTGTGATAAAACCTATTTCCTCTCCTCTCATGAAACCTTTGCTTGTATTTGTGAATCCGAAGAGTGGAGGCAACCAGGTGAGCCATTTTCACAAGTTTAACTTTGAATATTTGGTGATTTGTCACCAAGCATGACAAGGAGTCCAAGGTGTCTCAGGACAAAGTGCAAAACCTAGAGACTCTACGGCCCGTATTTCTCCTGTATACAACAGAACCAGAGGTGCTCCAAAGCCCAACTACTGTCCTCTGTCCTCAGGGAAATGGACGACTCCGACTTAGCCATCACAACAGTATCTCAAGGCTGTAGAAAATACTCATTTGTAAAGATTTCATTTGGTCTCTGTCTAACTCTTTTAGTATAGCTAATATTTACCACATTTGAAAATAAGAATATGTCATTACAAGAATTAAATTTAGTGGCATACCTAAAGTAACCTTGCTCTGTAAGGACAGGCTTTGTGTGAGAAGCCAGATCTGTGTTTTTATCCAGTTCTTCCTTCTCCTCGAGGCACTTCTGCATGCCTTGATTTTCTGCAATTTTCATGGAAATTTGGGCATAAAAATATGTTTTCTGACCATTAAGTGTACATTTTATACTTTGAGAAAAAATTCTTTGAAGTTTCACAATAAACAGCTACTGATTTGAAACTACTTAATTGCTTCACATCAGGAAGGGATGTATCATTGGGATTGACTTAATAGTCCAAATGATGTCATCATTACTAAAGATCTTGAACTGATTATAATTCTCTTAGGAGAGTTTACCATTTAAAAGAAATTTCCCTCTTTTCTTCTCCTTCATCAAGGTACTTGATCATGTGTAATGTTAAAATAAGTACCAGCACTGTAGAGACCAAGCAAAATGTGTTATAAAAAAAGAAACAATTTCTTTTTAACAACCTTCATTTTTCTGTTGGTTAGAGATGAAGACTTTCATGATTTAATGGTGGGATTGTAGGATTAGTAAAAGACCTAGGAATGGGTTTCCTATGAGTGAGGCTTAGTTTTCCCTGAAGCACACCCGCTCAGGGGCTGGCCTTCCCATAGCCTGTGAAGGGTGAGTGACATGGTTGGGAACCATGGAACAGAGTGAATCAAATGTAATTGCTTTCATGGCTTTGGCTATCCAAACACCACAGGCTAGTTGGTATCAACTATATTTTATCAAGACATTCCATATATAAAATGTACTTTTTCTGTGGAGACAGGTTCTCATACAGCCCAGACCAGCTTCAAACTCACTATGTAATTAAAAATGACCTCAAACTTCCTGATCCTCTCCATCCACCTCCTGCCTGCTGGGATTATAGGCATGTGTGGGCATGCCAAATTTATGCAGTGCCTTTGGGCATGCTAGTCAAACACTCTGCCAGCTGTGCTACATCCCCAGCCCTATAGTGCATTTATTAATCATATTAAACTTTTTTTTGTTGGATATACAGGAATTTCTTAGTTATCTCTGCCTTTAAGGAGCTGACAACTCAGTTAAGATACAGTCTGTTCTGCTCCAATCCCTGTGTAAATTAGTATTTCGACAGAGACCTCAGAGGTTACCTGATGCCACTGCCTAGTTCGCCAAATAGTAAACAGCTCAAGGAAATTTGAGGGAGTTCTTTTTTTGTTAAAGACAGAAAAGGAGTCAATGGCAAAAGATTAATTCAGGTGACATTCATTGGGAGTTCTAAATTGAGTGACTCGGACTGTAAGTGCTACAGAATTTCAGAGGGAAACAGTGGCTTCGGAGTGATAAAGACTTACTGCTTTAGAAATGGCTGAAATGGAAGAGGGCTCTATTTAACTGCAGAGTAGAGAAGATGGCACGAATATGTCCCTTCTTGTCTCTACCATGGCAAGTTTCTGCTCATCCTTCAAGGCTCCCAAGTGCTGTTCTGAGTCATTTTTCAAAATTAATCACCCTCTCCACTATATTCCAACAGCCTTTGAACTGTACCTGTGTTACATAAATTTCAACAGCAGTGTTCTCTGTGTGTCTGTTCTGTTGGGGTTTAGGCTTCTCCTTTCCAGAGGCCGCATCTTTAAATCTTTGATTTCTGTGGTGTGGTGCAGATGAAGCAACAATTACAGAGTGAGAAATATGAATAGAAGAAGAGGTGTTGTGCTGGAAATTCATTTTGAGAGCATGGGCTGCTCTTGCAGAGGACCTGGGTTCGATTCCTGGTTACCCACGTGGTGGGTAACAACCATTTATCACTCTGGTTCTAGGGGAATCACAGTCTCTTCTGACCTCTGCGGGCATTGCACAACATGTGTGCACTTACATACATGTAGGCAATACATATAGATAGAATTTCTCATTTCTCACATGTTCCAAATGCTGCTGCTGCTGCTGCTGCTGCTGCTGCTGCTGTACTTGTCTTAGAGAACAGAGCTCTCTCTGGCAAGGGCTCACTGCAGCAGTAGGAGTGGTGTGTGTGTGTGTGTGTGTGTGTGTGTGTGATCCTGATTTTTCCCATTTAACAATAACAATTTACTTATTCCACTCATCTACTTTTATATAAAAGAATTTCTGATTCATTCTCTCTCCTAGTGTGCAAAACTTTAAAATTTTAAAAATCTGCTTCAGTTATTTTAACTAGATGATATCGCCATCTACTGGCGAGAGAAAGACGTCTTTCTTTCTTTTTTCTTGCTACCTAATGCGTGAAAGGAAAAATGCCAACATTTGGAAGGACTATATTGGTCCAAATATATACAAGAACCACTTTTGCATCTTTTAAAAACAGCACATTATTTTATTTTCCTTATTTAAATTTCACAATATTTGTCTCTTTTTCTAGAACCTTCAAGGTACAGGTGAAACTTGTTTTGCAAAGGTTTTGTCACTTGGTTATACCAGTGTCTAAAGAGAATTGTTTGAGGATACAGGCATTGGGTTCAGAGGCTAAAACATCAGCTTTGAATGACTGTCCCTGTGGAAAACAGAGCTTACTCAGTCCCTTCTTTGTGTGGAGACTTTGGAAGACCAGCAAAATCCCACCCTCCATATACAACACACACACACACACACACACACACACACACACACACCCTACGTTATGCTGAGTTCAGTGTTTCTTTCTCATGTTCCCTCTGTCATCTTACAGATGGCTTGACTGTAAATTGATGGTTAAGCAGTTATTAAGCACCAGAGTGGAACTAGCTGGTTCTGGGAGTTGAGGGACCAGGGCCCTGGATTCTCCTGCTGTCCATGTGGAGTTCTAGGGCAGAAGTATGGCAGAACCTGAGTTGCCTGGACCAGAGATTCCAGATCTGATAAATAGAGGAAGTGAGCAAAGGGGAAAGCTGGTGGACAGAGTTCACACCACTGCTGTGAGGACCAATATCTTCCAAACAAGGCTACCCTCCTAAGTCAGGGCCAGTCATACCAATGTAGGCAGAGGGAGTCAGATCCAAAGTTAATGAGTTTCAATGACAAGTTTCTCCGACTATTTCCAAAATACTTGGATATACAACATCAGTGAAGAAGTTAGTTTTTGAAGAGCTAGAACCTTTGTAATGGGGGATAAATAAAAATGCATTGGTTATATATAAATTTGGACTTCTATGCTTTAGAGTGGTTGTGGGGAGAGAGCTGAGGGGCAGTATGTAAGTGAGGGTACATGTCGGAATCCAGCCTCAAGATCCTGTTAAAATAACCCCAACAGATGAGCTTAAAGTCAGAAAGTTAAGAATCTGTGAAAAGTCCCTTTTTCTATGTTACAGTATTGGGGAAGCATGGGGTGGGGGTGAGTACTTAAGGTACAAACAAAACTGTGGCGTTCCTTTGATGGGCTAGAGCCTGACTGTTGATAGCTGCAGTAGTGATGCCTCAAAATGCAAGCCTGGCTCTCCTGAGTGAAAGCATCTCAGTTACTGTTTTGCACAAAACGAAGTCCAGGCTTTTTAGCACAGCGGACTTAGTCTATGGTTTACTCCAGTTGGTTCATTTCCCGCCGCTTTCTGCCTGGGGGTTGAACTTTATGGAATGTAGTTTTCTGTGATGTGCCTCTTTCTTTCACACCTCTAGTGTTCTCACCTTGGACCTTCTTCCTCTGCTCCTTATGGAGATGCTTCACTATACTCAAGACACAGCTCGGCACTTGGGATGCCTTCATCTAATCTCCAGACTTGTGCTTAGACCATGTCTCCTTTGGGTGGGCCTGCTTCTCACTGTGCGTCTGTGTCACAGCATTTACCTATTTCAGTGAATCAGTGTGCTTTGTCTTGGTCTCTTTCCAGTAGATTCTGAGTTCCTGAGTATAGGCCTGGACACAGACAAGAGGCCAAATCCACATCCACTGAATAAGTAGCGTGCTCCTTTGGGCTTTGATGGAGCCAGTTTGAAATAATTATTTCCTAAGCTCTTCCTCCTGCTAACTTTATTTTCCTCCATCTTGCTTGTTGTCTGGGCAGTTTTTTTTTTTTTTTTTAGAATACAATTTGAATCAACTTTATTACAGCATGAAGTGAGGTGGAAACTAGCAATTGCACAGTAACATATGAGTGTTAATAGCTTTATGATAGGATTTTGAACATACACAATATTATGAAAAAATAGAGTCAGGCTAACTTTATCCAA